TTTCTCAAAACAAATCCTTAATAAAAGATTGTTTGTTGCTCATAACCACAATTCCAACCATCGCCTAAAAAACGCGACCCACAGAGGGAAGGCGACACTGAAAGGGAAAAAGGAGAATATCTGGAGCATCGACAATGAAAGGGCGGAGAAAGAGAAGGAAACCGCAAAGCAAATAAGGAGGAGAGGGAGGAGGGTGGCCAGAGGGAGAAAGGCTAAGACTGGGAGGGTCTTGGTTTCCGGTGCTATGTTAACGGAGGTTGAGACTGTTCTTCAAACTCAGGTATTTTTTTTTTTAATTTTATGAAATGTTCCTTGTTTTCTTTTTTCTTCCTGTCATGCGCAACGTTACCTGCGTCTTCTTTGTGTGCATAATGGGGAATCAGTAGATTAACAAGGTCATCTAAGCAGTAATTAGTTTAATTACAGTTAAGAGTGCGATTGAATGTCATTGTATGACTGTTTGTTCATGGTTGAATATGGGCTCTGTTTACTGTGGTGTGCCCAACGGTGTTTCTGGAACAAATGAATTCAACTTTTTTGGAAGTCATTCGTTCCAAATATTATATTTTATTCATGAAAATTTGGAATATCGTAAATGAAATCTAGGTTGAATTGGAACAACGCATTTTTAAATCTATAAATTTTCTTAGTAAATTATATCGAACTATGCTAGTAATCAACTTCTTCTCCGTTGCTTTTTCTTTTTCCTTTTAGGAACCTGTAATAAAACCCGTGTGGAATACATTTGCGAGTAGTGTGAGTGGAATATGGAAAGGGGTAGGAGCAGTTTTTTCACCTTTAACTGCTGAAATGGAACCAATTGAAATTGGAAACAAGAATGAAAACCTATATGACTGCTACATTCTTTCACGTATTGAGGCATTACCCTCCTACTCTGGAGTACAGTCATCTCAAATCCAGAGGAAGATAAACTGGGTGACTTTGAATCCTTATGGTGAAATCCCTCAGCATATTGGAAGCCCACACGGTAGCAAAGAAGAATCGGAAGTAGGAAATTCATCTTTAGCACAGAAGAAAATGGTTGATGGAAGTGTAACAGACCATGGTTTGCCTAAATTTGAGTCTTTTAACTTTGGAAGGAGTGATGTGATGGAAGAGGATGTAATGGGCAACAAACCTGGTCTTGTTTTCTTTGAGGTAAGATTTACATTTTAATTTATCACTGATGTGAAGTGGGAGCTAAAATTTTAACACCACCATGTCGTTATGTTTGGCCATGTTTTATTAAACATATGGTTAGAAAAAGTAATTATCTATTGATACAGGATGGATCTTATTCTAGAGGTCCAATGAATATTCCAATAGAGGAAGCTGATGAAACTAACTATTACCTGACTCCAACTTTCAAGGTCGAGCAAGTAAGTCATCTCCTTCCCCATGCTTTCTTTGGTGCCTCCCCCAAAACCAAAAAAGGAAAGGCAAAAAAGGAAAGGATTCTAATTCATTTTAAATGCTTCCTTGCTTAATGTCTGGTGAAAGGCTGCCACAGAAGACTTCGAATTGTCCATACTATTGGGTTCAACAATGGGGGTTCAGAAATACAGATAATGAGAGTTGCTGTTTATGAAGAACAATGGACCAGTCCTGCAAATGTTCATGACCAGAGGTATCATTTGCTCATGCGCAAACATTTATGTATTTGAAACTAAAATGTTATTTGTTCTCATTGAATTGGACATCCTGTTTTTAGTTTCGCTTGGGTACCAGATTAATTAAGATTTCTTGCCTTTGTTATGGGCAAGTATCTCTCATATTATTCAATGTTTCCCCCTCTGCAAAATTAACGGAAGGGGAGAATCTCATTTTTTATTGAAAGCTTTTGTCTGTTCAGATCATATAATAAATTTAAATTTACATCTTCGTTTTTGCTGTTTAAAGAGACTACTGCCTCCATTCTCTACAACTATAAAAGCAGGTTAGCTTTTCCTTGTGACTGAGCATCACTATTGATATGCTTGTGTATTTTGGACAGTGACTCAGAGTTGGCATTGAAGCCATTTTCTCAGCGGAAACGAGTTCAGATATTGGAGCTGACTGGATCATGGAAGGTGTTTGAAGTGAGTGCAACTCCAATATATGGTGAGGAGTTGATAGGTGGTGAATGCAATGGGACCCGTTATGCTTACCTCTGTACAGAAACCTTAAAGAAGAGGAGGTTGCCGGAGAGTTCTGTGTCATTCAGAGAGGAAGAGATTGTAGACACACAGGATGCAACTGTACTTTGGTTGCCGGGAGGTGTGACTGCTTATCTTGATGTTGACAAAGAGGGAATCCTTTGTATCGGAGTTGGATGGTACTCGGATGAGGGAATCAACCTTGTTATGGAAAGAGATTATGGAGTAGATGGGATGCTGAAGGAAGTTAGATGGAAGTCTGAGGTAAAAAGAAGGTGGCCTGATCCACTCCCTGTGTAAATTTGTTTTTTTAACCTTTAAAATAGAAGTTAATCTAGATCCAGCAGTAATACAATACAATTGGACCGTGTGATTACTTAAAATTTTATTGTATGCTAGCTATAATGCCAAAAGGAACATGTATAATCAATCAATCTTGTGAGCAACTCAGTTCTGTGCTGTGCCTCAAGATTTCTAGCGCAAAGGATAATACTATGAAATCCACATATTTGAATAGAAGAGTGAAAATGCTATAAAGCAAAACATATTTTGTAGTCCTAGTTTATTTTATAAATTTATTAGAGTTCGTTTTTCTGATTTTCTACTTTTTATGTATGTAAATCAAAATTTATTAGTTCACTTTTCAGTTTTCTACTTTTATGTGTGTAAATTTTTGACGCAGGAGAAAATATCTTTAGTTTCATAAATGCATTCCTATTTTTTTAATAGTTTAAATTTTAAATAAAGATTTTTATTTTCTAAATCTAAATAAATATTTTTAACATGAAAATTTTAATTTTGTTCTATTTAAAATATTTACTTATGGACTTTAGTCAATCGGTAATTGTCAGTGTAATAAGTTTTGATAAAAAAATATCAAATTAAGTAAATATATAAAAACATATCTAAGTATAATTATCTATAATTTAATCCTTTATAACTTAAATTAAGTAAGAATATATATTTTAAAATTTTTAAATGTAATTACTTCCAAATTTTAGTTACCTCAAAATTTTACTTTTTAAATTAAATAATATAAAATAGACTTAAAAAAAAAATAAACTTATGAAACGTAATCAAAATAATATTAACTCACAATAAAAAGCAAATAAACACAACGACCTAAATTAAGAAACCTAGTCTGAAATTCCTGCAACCTGGACTTCATTACCTCTGCCAGAATTTTTAAGATCTCCAACAAATTTGCCATGCACTATTTTGAACTCCATATACTTCTGTCAAAAACGTTCCTATTGAAATTTAAAGGATTTCCTCAATATCCTCTTGGATCTCCTTGATACTTTCTTTTTAGCCCTATCAAAGAGGATATCGTCATTCCAAAAAAAAGAAAAAACAGATATGCCCTACACATTAACTACCTCTTCAATTTCAAGGTGCTTGAACCCATGAGGATTTAAGGAACTTGTATGGGTTCAAAGGTACTTGAACCCTTACTAGTTCTAGTTGTCTTTGGGAAATCTCTTTATTTTCTCTCACAACATGTGTCATTTTTATTTAATCATGTCAATTGTTTCCAAAATATTTTAGCTTTTTAAAATAATTATTTCCTTAATAAACACATCATTAACTTTATTTTGTTTATAAATAAAAAAATCTATATAAAATACTTTCAATCAATCATTACATGATCAATTTGTAGAGTTCACTATTAATTAAATCAACTAAATCAATATGAAATGATCATTTCGCCCTTAGTCCTTATTTTACACAATCTTATTGTATACCTAAATCTTTTAGGCTCATCATTAACTATCATCAAGTTACAATTATTTCAAACTTGAAAGTCCATGGATATCACTAATGACACATTTGATGGCTAGAACACTAAATAATGATTTATGTTAGAATAACTTTTCTTTCATAAAACCTACTATAAATAAACCTATCATTGATAAACTTAATGTGTAGATGTAAGAATATTCGATGCGGAAGTCATTTTTCTTGAATTCAACACATTTTAAGAAAATTTAAAACAGCAAAAAGTTAGAGTTACATACCATTCAAAGATGATACAACCATAACGTGAATGAGATCTCTTCGAAAAATTCTTAATTCTCTAACTTACTTCTTCTCTGTATCGAACTATTATGTAAAATAACTTTAAAACTTTAGTTGATGGAAGACACATATGAAACGAGAATTGTGCTCTTTTATAGACGAAAAAAGTGACTAAAGCACATTCATGATAATTGAATGTGTTGGTAACCGTTTTTATTATTATATTTTAATTCTCATAAAATATAATAATTTTATTATTTATTTAAAGATTATTCACTCCATCAATGTACCTTTTTCTTTATAATGATTATCTATTATTTTGAATGTCCTTTTATTTAGCTTCAACTGTTATGAGTGAATGAGAAAAAATAAAATATTAGGTTAGTAGATCATTTACTTAATTCTTGGAATTAACATTCTCCCACTTGACTACCTAAACCGACTATGAAAATTATAATAATATATATACATTTTTATATTAAAAATATATTTATTGATAAATAAATTCGATACGTGATCTCGATAAATTAGCCAACAAACTCAAAATTACTATACGATAATATTAAAATAACTTAGATTATAAATGTGAATCATAACGGTTACATGACTTTAATGACGCATTTTCTTTTATACATCACACATCAATAACTTTTACTAATTCAGTCCATAATACCAAAATAGCCCCTATAATTTATCTTGCCAAGACATTCCCTATTGATTAAATACTAAATTGTGCATCCATGATTAAAAAACAGGAAAGATTAGAAACAAACTGTAATGTGTATGTTAGAAAATTAGGACTAACCTTAATGCGGAAGCAATAAGATAATATGTTTGTTTTTCTGCCCACAAAAAATAATAATTGATGCCTTTTGTTTTTTCTCGAATGCTACTAGATTTTTGGGTAATCTTCGCACATCAAAACCCAAGTCTGCTTATGGTTTAACTTAATGTGAAAGAGAGAATTGTAATATATTTTTTCTGAATGTTATCTGCTTTCTTAAGTCAACAAAAATAATTTTTTCTCCTTTATATACTCACCAAGAGTCATACATTTTTACAAGAAGGGTTTCTATTATATAAACTTACGACGGGTCGTGTCTTTTTACAATGGGTATTGTAGATATTTTAAATTTTATAAAACATCTCCCACTCAGCTACACAAGCCATACTAACTATAATATACTACCACATCAACATATCTCTCACATTTCATACATAATATGGGGTGTGCAACCAAAAGGCAACAAGTAGTGTTATATTAAGTCACCATATAAATAATGTAACACTTTCATATTTATAATATCTCAAATAATTTGAACATCACCATTAACATATACTATCCCTCTATGTTATAGTTATATTATTTGGTTATATAAAATATAATTGCTCGAGCTTATATATGATGTCAGAAAGATTCTTTCTAAGCACTCATACAATCCATTTCAACTTGACTGCTTTCCTATCATGCTTCGCGGGATCGTACAGGTTGTGGCCCTTAAAAATATATTAAAGTATCAACATCAAATCTTGACTTCATGTGATAGCTCTAAGTTGAAGGGTATCATACAAGGAGGACACAAAAGTCCATAGGTTTCACATAGTGACAAAGTAGGGAATTATTTTATCACTCCCTATATCGGTCGTTAGATAACACATACAGTATGATATGTATGTCACAACATAGCTCCCACTAAGTTGGACATGTCACTCTTCTATGTCGTGCGAATCACAAGTCCAGATATTACTCAAGTATCTAACTTGAACCACTTGATCAACATACTCAATGTATGAGCTGTTACTCAATATTTGGCTCTAAGGCTTTAGTATGAAATCGGTTATATTTCATACTCGACTCTTTAAAGTCTCATCTTAGACATACTAAGGTGATTATAAAATTTTAATATTTTTTCATTAATACAACATAAGTATAAAGGCAATCCATATTGTACATACTTAATGCCAATATGATTTAATTTTATCCTACCCGCTACTCAAGCGTTAGGGAGATCACCCATGTGATAAGGTCAATCATAAAGCTTGGTGACATTATTACGTGCCTAATCATGCAATTATGTTCGTGAACATTTCATAAGAAAATAATAACTTTTATTTTATGAATGATCAATACACAAAAATATGTCCATTACGTATTAAATCCCACTCGAAAATTAAAGCCTACGCAAACCTAGACTCTTCACATGAACTCGAAAAACATCTCTAGGTATAGACTTAGTAAAAAGATCAGCAACCGTTTTTCTAATGGATATATACTTAATAGAAACTTCTCCTTTTTTTATGGCGCCTCAAATGAAGTGATAACACCTCTTAATATACTTGGTTTTCCTATGGAATTTTGGATCTCGAACATATTGGATAGCAACAGTATTGTCACAATACATTTCTATAGGTTCATCAACTTTAAGGGTGATGTTGAGATCCTGTAGAAAGCTTATTAACCAAATTGCCTATTGTATAGCAAGACAACTAGCAACATACTCTGCTTCCATTGTAGATAAAGCAATGCAGTCTTGCTTTTTACTATACCAAGATATGGCACCTCTACTAAGGACAAAAACATATCCTGAGGTCGAGTTAGACTCATCTCAGTCGCCACCCTAGTTTGTATATAAATATCCTTTCAACCTTAAGTCCCTTTATTGATAACAACGGACTAGGTCACTTGTACCATGAAGGTAGTGCAAGATTCTCTTGACTACTTGCTAATGAGCAGGTCTAGGGTTGCTTTGATAACAACTTACCAAACCAACCACAAAAGAAATGTCCCGTCGTGTACACAACATGGCATATATCGAACTGCCTATTGCACTAGCATAAGGAACTTGCTCATTTTCTTTCTCTACATCAATATTTAGGTATTGATCATGACTTAAGGTTAAACCCTTCTCAACAAGAGTGTTAATGGATTTGGAGTAATGCATCCGAAATCGTTCCAAGATTTTCTTAATATATTCTTCTTGGTACAGTCCTAAAAGCTTTTTGGAATGGTCTCTCATTATTTTCATACCAAGGACAAACCTAGCTTCACCCATGTTCTTCATCTAAAAAATAGAGGACAACCACTGCTTAGTGACATTAATCATCTCCATGTTATTTTCAACTAATAGTATGTCATTAATGTATAAGGAGAGAAACATAATCCCTCTAATTGTTTTCTTGACATATACACAATGGTCTTCATCTACCATGGACAAGCCAAACGAAGTAATGGCTTCATGGAATTTGAAATACCATTGTCTGGAAGACTACATGAGACCATAAATGGATATTTTAAGACGACAAACTTTGTTTTCTTGAACTTTTGAGACAAACCTAATAGGTTGATCCATATATATTTCTTCCTCAAGTGTACCATTGAGAAAAGTAGTTTTAACATCCATTTGAAATAACTTCAAGTCCAAATGGGCAACCAGGGCTAGAAGGAGATTAATAGAGGTAAATCTCACCACAAGAGAAAAAGTCTCTTCATAGTCTATACCCTCAATTTTAGTAAAACCTTTTGCCACTAATCAGC